CAACGTGAAATTTTTTATATGATAGATATATGGAGGGAAGTGCTAAGAATCCAGCCAAATAATTAAAGACAAGAATTACACGAACAATATGAAAATACTGGATCACACAACAACCAAGATTTTTGTTGAAGAAGAGGTGAATTTATTATACCAAGAAATCAAAATTTTCTTTACAAGATTTAATTTTTTCAATCTTAACAATTCTATCAAGTTTCCAATGTATACAACAATGATCTAATTGTTACTTTGAGCCTATGAAGATTCTACTCTTTGTGGAGTATTTATAGGAGTCAAATCATGGAGTTACGGACGAAATAGAGTCCTTAATCTCGAAGTCTTTATCAAAGTCAAACAGTTAATGCATGTGAAATTGGATCCCTTATCTATAGAGACTTCAAAACCAAAATTATCTAAACTTCCTCCATGAACTAAAATTCCAAATCACATAAAATTTGAGTCACAACCTAACAAATTCCATCTTGACACAAATTCCAAAACAAAGAATTAAGTTATCGCTCTTCAAGTTATTTTCCAACTCTTGCACCATGCCAATTCAGAGCACACCATGCCCTTGTCGGGCATATTAAGCAACAGTTAATTAAATCCAATCATTACTTACCCGCAGAACTACATTGCGAGCCAACTTTGCCGAATCATCTGGTTCTCTTTCAGCTCCAACTGAGTCACCAAACATGCTCGAATCATCGTAAGCACTTTTAACTCCACCTAAGTTGTCAAATCTGCTTGAATCATGTTGTAAAATTTTGTTTCGCAAGTGTACGACTCGTAACAAGTAATATTGGACCTAAGAGTCCGAATTGTCGATCCCACAAGGAGTATTTTCTAGTACTTAATTCAATTTTTCTTTAACTACTATTTGAGTAAAACAAATTAAAAGTTGTATGATTTGAGTTTTAATCTAAAATCTAGAAAATAAATGGATGCTCACACAATTGGTTGAAAAATCAAATAATGAATGGATGTTAGGGCAGAATAACTTCACATATTGATCACTTTTACATCTCAAATTAAAAACCAATTCTAATGTAGCATTCGGTCGAATTCTCTTATTGTATTCAATTTACCCCTCTCGAGTTCTCATTGAGCCTATTCAACTAATTAAATTACATATCTCTATGCAAATTCAACTTAGTTAAACGAGTTATTTGTCCTAGAAATTCAATTATGACCGCAATAAATGGTATAAGTATCTCTACTCGTATACCAATGCACTGGATTTTACTGCATGGTCTAAATCCTAAACTTATATCTCTATTTGTAAATAATTTACAAAAAATCATCAAATTATTAATCAGATAATTTTATGCATTCAACTCATAGCAAAATCAACAAATGAAAAAAATTAAAAACTAAGAATATTAATAAGAGAACGTAAAAGATTCCAATAGGTTACATTATTCACCCAAAACATAAATTTAACTATTCATAATGCAAGAAGAAAAACAATCAAATGTCTTAGAATGCATCACCGAATTTGTAATAAAGATGTAAAAGAAAGAGTAGAATTCTTGCACTAAGATCTCCTTCCCCTTCTAATCAATGCTTCAAATCTTCAATTGCTTGGTGTTATTCTTCTTGAATTTCTCTTTTGAATCTCCTTTTTTGTTGTCTTGCCTCCAATGTGTGTAAAACCCCAAAAGTATGAGAAAGATTGTATTTATAGGTGCTCGCTTCGTTTTGTGTAGAAGTAGGGTTTTTATGGACTTTAAAAGGGCCCAAAATTTGCGCCCTAGACGACCCAGAGGCAGCGCCTAAGCACTACGTCTACAGTACCTAGGCGTTGATGGTGGTGCCTAGGCGCTATGATTGCAGTGCCTAGGCGTTGCCTCTCGGGTTCAAATTTCATTTTTTTACTTTCGTAGCGCCAATGCAGCACCTAAGCGCTGTCTTTCTGCCTCAATTTCCTTGTTTTTGGCATCTTCATCTACTTTAGTACCTCTTTTTACATCACCTTTCCTATTCTTCAAAACACCACCAACAAACACATAAAAAACATTCTATACTCACAAGTGAAACAAACTCATCAAATACCTCCAAACTTAATCATTTGCTAGTCCTCGAGCAAACAAACAACCAAACAATAAAATCATCCAAGGACGACATACACAAGCATGCAAAAGATAATTGGTTGGATAATCAAACTTTTTACTTCAAGATTCGAGATTTTGATGTTTATTCCACAAACATGCTTCAAGTCACAATACCAAACCAATATCTACTCTTCCAGTGCAAAATCAATGCGTGTGTGTGTGTGTGAAGAATTAAGTAATCCACCATGACTGCACAAGTTATTTAAACTCTGATCCTCTGTAGTCAAATATATCCTCACGTTTCTCGTGTGGTTCACACACCCCTAAACTTATTCTTTTCACTCATTCCAGCGTGTAACCTAAGGTTGAATCTTTCATTATTATCCTCACCCTCTTGAGTTCAGGTGGACGTTACTAGTTGTAAGTCAACACTTTAGTGAGCATGGATTTTCCAATTATTTTGTTGCTTCGACCGCCATGACTCAACTAGCTAATTATCATTCATCGAAAGTCAAATTTCCTCAAATAAGTCTTAGGACTTAACAAAGGTATTTAGTGCTTTTGCTCTTTTCATGCACTTGTTTTTTCTGTTTTTCGCAAGATTTTTTTTCATTCTCTCCATTAAGCTTTCTAGATGACCCCTGTAGCAGGCTTTTGACCGATGACTTCCAAATCAGATGATTTTAGGGCACCAGGTTTTAAACACCCTTACAGGCTTACTGACCTGAGTCAAAAAGGCTTCGAAGAGAACTAATTTTTATTTCAAGTGCAGCTTCATCTTTGATAGCCTTCTAAATGACCCCTGTAGCGAGCTTTATGCCGATGACTCCCTAATTAGACGACTTTAGGGCACCAGGTTTTAAGATACCCTTGCAGACTTAATTACTTGAGTCATGAAGATTTCAAAGAGAAGTTTTTCAATTTCACATGTATATGCATTGATTAGTGCAATGTCCCTATTACCCACTTATTGAAACAAACCGACCTCCAACTTAAGACTCTCACCTAGTTTTATCATGTTAGTCTAAGACAATCCATACATAAGTTTTTACACATGGAATCCAAATTCACATCTGCATCTTCCTACAACTGTAAAGTCACCACCCCAAACTATGCTAACTTTGGTCTAAGAATAAATAACTTACTATGGTTTAAGTAAAGTATCTATGTCCAATTAAATCAACCTATCTAACAAATGAATCAACTCGTTTTATCACAGTTTTAGACTCAATTTTAGTGCATATATAATATCGAATTTTGCAAGGTTAAGCTTCAATCAATCTAGCATGTATCATATCCACAGTTCATAAATCAACACCAAATCTCAAAGTAAAACGTAATTGTAAACCAAAATGTCCAACTCAAAAAATTTTTAGGTTGGCAATTAATAATAATACACTCCCCCAAACTTAAACTAAATATTGTCCTCAATGTTAACTTTAAAAGAAAATGATGGAGACTTTCTTGAAACATTAGTATTGCCTATGATGTTGTGGTGTCTTGGTGTTGCATTTGATCGACTCTTCTTCCACATTCTCTTCCAAACTTGAGATTTGTCCCATTTTCTCCATGTCCATGTTGGTTTGAGTGTTCCGCAACGTCATGTTCCTGAAAAATTAAATTCATGGAACAAGGGTTACTTAGCTTAAACATCTAATAACCAACTTAATTACTCCAAGACCAATGGGTAGAAGGGGTGTGGATGATGTTTCCTAAATAAACTGTAAATTAAACTATCCTAGAACTTTGAAAACAAAATAAATAAAATAAAATAAAAACTTGGGTTACCTCCCAAGAAGTGCTTCTTTTAAGTCATTAGCTTGACTTGTGTCGCTGATTTATCATGGTGGCTCAAACTAAGTTATTCCATCATTGCACTTTGTGCAATTTTCATTGATGCAGTCCTTTTTTGTTCTCCATATTTTGATTTGCCCATGAGCCCATCCTTATCTCTTCCAAGAAGTTCTCCAAAATTTGGTTTTTTGTTCTGACAGCTTCGTTGATCACGTGGCTCTTCTTCATCAATTCTATAGCAATCATTTTTATTGGGAGGTTTCTCATATTGGATGTAAATATTGAATATCTCGTGCTTGTCCTCCACCCTCAAGATTAGTTCTCCCTTCTCCATGTCGATAAAGGTTCGTCCCGTTGCTAAGAATGGTCGACCCAATATAATTGGAATGTCTTGATCTTCTGGTATATCCAATGCAATGAAATCCATAGAAAATATGAAATTTCCTACTTTTACGAGTACATCCTCAACTTTTTCATGTGGCCTTGAGATTGTTCTATCAGCTAGTTGTAGCGTTATTGATGTTGAGTTGACTTTACCTAGTCCCAATTTCCTAAAACCAGAATACAACATTAGATTAATACTAGCACCAGTATCACACAACACATTAGCTGAACAGAAATTTCCAATTGAAATTGGTAAAGTAAAACTCCCTGGATCCTTCAATTTAGGAGGCAATTTTCTCTAGACTCTTACACTACTTTCTTCAGTTAATGCCATAGTTTCAAACTTTGGAAGCTTTATTTTCTTTGTCAACATCTCTTTCAAAAATTTCGCATAGCTTGGAATTTGTAGTATTGCATCAATAAACGGAACATTGATCTGGAGCTTCTTGAGAACATCGAGGAATTTTTCATAATTTGTATCTTGTTTGTTCTCCTTGAGCTTTTGAAGAGAGAGAATGGGAGGCATGTCAGCTTTGTCTAGACTTGATGTTTTAGTAGCTGATGTTTCTGTACTTTCTCTATTTTCAGTTGCGTTTGGTGTAGATTTTTCTACCTTTATAGCTTCATCAATCACTTCCTGGTCATCTTTTCTTTTAGATCTCTCTATAGTGATCTCTGACGATTGTACCTCACTCTTTGTACTTATAACATGAATATTTTGCTCCATCGACTTCTTTCGAAGTCTTTGGGAAAACGAAAGTGGAGGTACATATGCTTTAACTTTTACGGGGGCCCTGGGTGGATCGTTCTCCACTACTTTAATCGCCATCACCTATTCTTTAAGATTTATCATTAAATTGCCTGACAATGTCCCTTGTGGACGTTCTGTAAGTTGTTGTGCTATCTGACCAATTTGTGTCTCCAGTTTCTTGATGGATGCCTGTTGATTTTGAAAGTTCATGTCAATTTGCTAGAACACATTGTCTGTCTTCTACACATATTGTTGAAACATCTCCCCTAAATTTGGTCTTCTTTCTTGCTGGAAATTCTTCCCATATGAGTTAAAATTACGGGAGCTATTTTGAATAAAGTTTACTTGTTCCTCTGAAGAAGTGAGCATCATGCAGCTCTCTGTAGCTTGATTTCTCCCACAATTCTCACATGCTGAACTGACCATAATTGCATTTGCTCCATGTGTTTGCAATTTTACAAGTAACTCTACCTGTTTTGTTAAAGCTGTTATTTGGGCAATGGTAGCTGCTGTGCTGTCTAACTCATACACTCCACCTGTCCTTGGTGGAGCCACTCTCTCCGATGAGAACATAGAATGTGTAGTGGCAATCATAGAATGTGTAGTGGCAATCAACTCGAATAATTCTATGGTTTGTTGCACAGATTTTTCTATAATGGATCCACCAGCTGAGGTATCAACTTGAGATTTTGACAGTGGTGTAAGTCCAGTGTAGAAGTACTGCACTTGATTACCTATAGTAATTCCATGGTTTGGGCATTTTCTCATCATCTCATTAAACCCATTCCATGCCTCATGATAGCTTTCTCCTTCTTTCTATTGAAAAGTTTGAATCTCCAATCTGATTTTAGCTACTCTCACCGATGGGAAAAATTTATTGCAGAATTTCTTGGTTAGTTCTTCCCATGTAGTAATGCTGGCATGAGGCTCTGCATCTAACCACTCCAATGCAACATCTCTCAATGTAAATGGAAATGGTCGTAATTTAATAGCATCTTCATTGACCCCTGGAGAGTGGAAGTTTTGACAATTTCTGAGAAATATGGAGATATGTGTGTTCGGATTCTCATGAGGTATCCCATAGAATTGTAGAGTGTTTCTCATCAAGTTGATCCAATCTAGCCCCATCTGAAAGTTATTCACCCCAAAATCTGGATACACAATACTGGAGTGCATGGGTGCTGCTATAGGTGTCAAGAACATTGATACTAACAAATCACCTTCATTTATTCCCCCTTGCTCAAGCTGCTGTTCCGGTGGCACCACCACTCTTGCGGCCATTTGTTCAATCAACTGAATAGGGATAGGAATTTGTTGATTGTCAGCCATTTGATGTTGCTGTTTTTGTTTGTGTTTTTTGCGTCTTCGTCTGAAGGTACGTTCTATCTCCGAATCAAACAGTTCAAGATCGTCGCCTTGAGCACAGAGCATACAATGAACACAATTTTTTGTAAATAAAAGAAAAATAAACAAATCAAATAACAGTTAAAAAAATTAAGACTAAAAGAAATAGTCCCCGGCAACGGCGTCAAAAACTTGTTGTAAAATTTTATTTCGCAAGTGTACAACTCGTAACAAGTAATAGTTGACCTAAGAGTTCGGATTGTCGATCCCACAAAGACTATTTTCTAGCACTTAATTCAATTTTTCTTTAACTACTATTCGAGTTAAACAAATTAAAAGTTGTATGATTTGAGTTTTAATCTAAAATCTAAAAAATAAATGGATGCTCACACGATTGGTTGAAAAATCAAATAATGAATTTAGGGCGGGATAACTTGACCTATTGATTACCTTTACATCTCAAATTAAAAATCAATTCTAATGTAGTATTCAGTTGAATTCTCCTATTGTATTCAATTTACCCCTCTCGAGTTCTCATTAAATCTATTCAACTAATTAAATTACATAACTCTATGTAAATTCAACTTAGTTAAACGAGTTATTTGTCCTAGAAATTCAATTAGGATCGCAATAAATGGTATATGCATCTCTACTCGTTATATCAATGTACTGGATTTTACTACATGGTCTAAATCCTAAACTCACATCTCTATTTGTAAATAATTCACAAAAAACCATCAAATTATTGATCAGATAATTTAATGCATTCAACTTATAGCAAAATCAACACATGAAAAATTTAAAAACTAAGAATCTTAATAAGAGAATGTAAAGGATTCCAATAGGTTACATTATTCGCCCAAAAAATAAATTTAACTATTCATAATGCAAGAAGAAAAACAATCAATTGTCTTAGAATACATCACCGGATTTGTAATAAAGATGTAGAAGAAAGAGTAGAATTCTTGCACCAAGGTCTCATTTCCCTTCCAATCAATGCTTCAAATCTTCAATTGCTTGGTGTTATTCTTCTTGACTTTCTCTTTTGAATCTCCCTTTTTGTTGTCTTGCTTCTAATGTGTGTAAAACCTCACAAAAGTATGAGAAATATTGTATTTATAGGTGTTCCCTCCATTTTGTGTAGAAGTAGGGTTTTTATGGACTTTAAAACGGTCCAAAATTTGCGCCCTAAACGACCCTGACGCAGCGCCTAAGCGCTACGTCTGCAGTGCTTAGGCGCTAATCGTGGTGCTTAGGTGCTACGTCTCCAGTGCCTAGGCACTGCTTATCGGGTTCAAATTTCATTTTTTTTTTTAGTTTCGTAGCACCTTAGGCGCTAATGTAGCGCCTAAACGCGCTGTCTTTCTGCCCCAATTTCCTTATTTTTGGCCTCTTCGTCCGCTTTAGTACCTCTTTCTGTCCCAATTTCCTAATCTTCAAAACAACACCAACAAACACATCAAAAACGTTCTATACTCACAAGATTTAGCAAATAATCAAGCTAATATTGTGCAAAATTCCCGAGTGAAACAAACTCATCAAATCACCACGAGCAACATGATCAACAGGATCATACCTAGCTCCACCTAAGCTATTAGGAAGTTCTTCAATATCATTACTTGAATCACCACGAGTAACCTAATCACAACCAATTCAACCTGAGTTACTGTTTATCTAACCATAAGCTACAGCTGCTTTCAGAGTGACTATCGAACCTTCTAATACATATAACCAAGACTTTCTCCACCTCCTTAACACAGCCCTAGCACCATTGCTAAGTTTCAGAACTCTACTTCCACCGGTATACCGGTACCATTTTGAATAAAAAATACTCAAAGAGATTAGATTCCTATTTATACCTAGAGTATGTCGAACCTGACCAAGTGTTCTAATCATTCCATCAAACATTTAGATTTTGATGTTACCAATCCCAATTATCTTACAAGGCTCATTATTTCTCATCATCACAGAACCTCTTCTAACTGCTTTATATGAAGAAAACCAATCCCAATTTGAACACATATGAAAAGTGCAAGATTAATCAAGAATCCAATCCCCATCAAGTTTGGAGTCACCATCAATTATTGCCAAAAGATCTTCATCATTGTCTTCTTTTGCAAGATTGACATTATCGAAGATTTCTAGTTGTTCCTTCTGATTTGTAGTAGCAAACATATTTTGCCACTCATAGCAGTCTCTCTTCATGTACCGCTTGTTGTTGCAACACCAATAGACTCTACCACTATTGTTATTTTTGACTCTATCCTTTCCATGACCAATTGTCTTCTTCTCACGAACAATGAGATCCTTTGTCTAGACCTCAGAGTCGACGACCAGTTTCTTCATATTCTTCTTACAATAAAGCGCATCATGTACCTCGTCAACAGTGAGAGTATCCCAATTATAGAGAATAGTATCTCTAAAAGTTACATATGAAGGCGGCAACAAACATAACAATCTCAGCCATAAATCCTCTTTATCATACTTGACCTTCGTGATCTCCAAATCAGTGACAATTTCCTTGAACACTGATAGATGATCTTCCAAATATCCATCTTTCATCAAGCGATGAGAATACAAATATTGTTTCAAGTATAACTCACTAATCAAAATCTTTTACATACTAAGTCGCTCCAATTTCAACTATAACCTAGCGCCACTTTTCTCCTTTACCACATCCTGAATAATTTGATTAGAAAGATGAAAATATATCTGTGATGGGGGGTTTTTTTTTTAATTTTATGTTGCTTCTCCTCCGCTGTCATTGTTGCAGGCATTCTATCCACCCAACAAAGCATCATTCAAGTTCAATTGAGTAAGAATTGTTCGTATATTTATTTGTCACAAAAATTATCTACTGTTGCGATCCAAAAGTGAAACCTCAAATTTCATAGTTGTCATCTCTACGACAATTGACATTGTTTCAATCTCACTTTGATACTCAATTTGGACCTTCCACGAACCAACCAAATGCAATAAATTATGTGAAATAGTTGTTATAGATAGAAACTGCTGTCACACACAGCATTTAAAAAATATATATAGAATAAAATAAAAAATTGTGACCATATTTTATCTTTCCATTATTATTATTTTTTTTCATCCTTAAAACCCCGATAGTTAAAACATTTGAATATGAAGAAAATGTTAATGAACCGAAACCATTGGTCTTTTTAAGTTATACAGGTTCGAGTGCACTTTCTTTGTACTTCAACGCTTTAAAGTCCAAAGAATTATCAAAACAATACTAAAATACTGATCAGCTAGTCTTATGTCATGTATTCACATTCTACTCTCAAAATTGTTCTTTAATTGCATAAAACAAACGGAATGTAGCAGAAAAAAGTTGGCCACTAAATAATATTAAATGACAAATGGTTAGATAATATAGTTGACACAGTAGGGGCATTACATTCTGTTGGGTTTTTTTTTATACCCAATAAATTTCGGACAATGATTTTAACGTGTGTTAATATTATTTCATAGGCATAGGTCGATGAATGAAATAAGTCTAACAACCAAGTCCATAAGCTACACCCAACCCAATTGTATTCCCTTATGGATGGCTTGAATCTTGATCCGTTTACCCCTTTAATGGTCCAACTTAAAGCCTAACCCTAGAGTATATATATGGCTATAACCCTAGCCACTTTCTTATGATGTATTGTGTAATTTTGAGAGAAGAAAAAGAGAATCCTGGCTACCCCCCTTTGGGTGAGAAAAATGGTCTCCAG